TTAATAACAACAACATTATGAAATTCATATAAAAACTATTTTACATCAAAAAATATTAAAATAGTGTAAACGATATAACTATTATAATATATTATTTAAATAATATTCATTTCATTAACTATCAATAATTCATTCTCAAATATCCAAAGTTATAACAAAAAAAGAACGATTTCACTTGTTATAGAGACAATTATCATAATTCAATTAGAGTATTTAATCAAAACTAATATGAATAAAAATATAAGATAGAACATCACAGTGATGAAATAATAAGATAAAAATGAAGAATTGTTACAAATAATTTAAACGATTAAAATAATACTAATGAAAGATGATGAAAATGAATAAGAATTGAAAAGAAAGAGATTGTATAAATCATTTTGTAAAAGAAATAATAAAAATGAATGTAATGAAATATACCAATTTATTCCAAATAAGAATAAACCAAATATATTAATAAAAGAATAAAAGAGTGAATAGAATGAAATATAGTAAGAAAATGAAGTGATTAGTTAATTATTAAATTACAATGAAAATAAAATGATAGAAAATAATAAATAAAATAATGAAGAATGTTAATATAAAAAAGAAATGAATATAAACAATGAAATTAGTTCAAGAAAGTTGTATATTTATATGAAATGAACAAATAAATAATAAATGAAAATGATGTATTATTTGTAAATGTAAAATAACAATAAATGAAGTTATAATAATAAATTATCTTGTTAATAAGAATGAACAGATTAAATATGGGTTAATAAATGAATATATCTTGAGATTAAATAAAATAACATGTAAAATAAAATCATGAAGAAATAATTGAGAATAAAACATGAGGGGAGAAAATGAAATTAAACAACGGTTAAAATGAAAATGATAAAAACAAAAGAAGAATAGAAAATAAAGAAATAATCAGTAAAAGTGAATATTTCATAAAAGAACAGGCATTTATAGAAGATAAAAGAAGTAAGAATACTGAGTGTTATGATAAAAAGATAATAATAAAAGGATAAATTTGACAATTACTAATAAACAAGAAATGGATAAAACTCACTGATATAAAATAAGACAACTTAATAGAATAAAATAAAATGAATTAAAAAAATAATGACAATAAATTGAATAGCCAATAAAGAAACAGTAAGAATGATCAAAGAACAAGACATTATAATTGCAATTTTACATAATGATATAATAAATAATAAATAAAAACATGAAACGTCTAATGAAATAATGTGAAGGCAGAGAGTGAGAATATAGATATATAGAAGTACCTTATGAACAAGAATGGAAAGAGAGTGAATGAAATTCAAAATAAATAAATAAAATAGAAAATTAATACTTACTAAAACTTAATTTAGTGATTGGTATTATTTCTTTTCTTATTTATTAAAAACACCTTGGATGGAATATTATTTCAATTGAATAAAATAAACCAACACTGAATTATCTCCATTTTTAATTTACCATTTCATTCATTGGCAAGATGAATGAAATGTTCATATTATTCATTGTTTTGTTTTTTATTCTTTTTTAATCATATTCTTCATTGTTTTGTTTTCTATTCTTTTTTAGTTCATTTTCAATTATTC